TCCTACAAAACAGAAAAAATGCGCAGTTAATCTATGCATGCACCAAAACAGTTGTTCAACTTCTTATAGCAAGTCGAATAGCTTTGAAGCAGGTGCCTGCAACGATTTATTCATCCCCACACTCAATAAAACGCCAACCTCGTAGCTGAAAATAAGGGTGCACTTCGCACTCACACACACAGAAAAAAAAAAGGAAGAAAAGCGATCGAATGTAGAATCGTGGATTAGCACAAAAGGTTAAAATCGCAGGAGCTTCCTCGCTAAAAGTTGCTATGGTTGTTCGGTGACGGAGGGCTGAAACAACTTCCCTTAGGCCCTAACGCGACGTATACATTTCGCGTAGATTCTCAGATATTTCAACGTTTAAACAAAGCTAAGAGAATGCGAAAATTTAATGTTAAAAGCACTGAAAGTTCTGTCGATCCTCGGACACATCCCGGAATCCAAGCACCGGTACGGCGATGCAGAGCTGATGCTGTCTCACAGCCGTTAATATCCAGATGATCCAGAGCGATCTTGCGCAAAAACGGTATAAAGTCTCATTCCTTCATATTTTCACATTATACCTGCGTCAGCGAGCACGAAGAAGCCCGAAGTCGTCGGAAAGCAGCTGCACATCACGGCTACCGCGCACCGAACAAACTCGCATTCGCCAGCTCTGGGCGCTGCCATCTTACCTGTGACGTCACGGCTCTTGGGAGGTCACGTGACGAGTGGTCACATTTGCGTAAAATATGGCGGCAACCGGGGGGGTGCCACTTCCGAACTTCCGGTTTATCACTCTAAGCCCCTCTACCTCGTTGAAATCTACTGACTTTTTGGGGATCAATCTGCTGACTTTTTTTTTCTCCATCTGGCAACACTGACTAGAGCACTATATAGCAGGGGGGGGAAGGAGGGAAAGGGAACGCGGCGCAAAGCGGAGGCTGCCATATTAAAACCGCTTACGTTGCCAGCATAGGTTTCGCAGTGGAGAAGTTGCTGCCATATACGGCGGACGAAGTTTTACTTTCTTTTTCGTTTTGGAAAGAATGTATTGTTGTGTTATATAAGTCCTCCTGCATACTAACAACGAAGTTTAATTATATTTGTCTTGTTTACTCGGCTTGAAACCCTAAAAACAGGTTTTGGCAACTTATTGCTTCCATCATTTTGGAGTACGCAGGCAGTTATCTCGCTGTTCTGGTTTCGGTTACGAAAGCAAGGCAAAACGCCTGTAGTTCCCGCCCTCAGTACACTTGGACACCTTCCACACTTTGACACCGGATAACTAGATTGTGGCGACGCACAATCACCAGCATTTTGGCGCTATAAAACCTCGTCGTCGTCTGCTTCAGGGAAGCACGGCCGCCCGCTACACAGTCACGCGGGACAGAGGAACGTCCGTCGACCGACGCCGCCGAGGCAATAAAAACACCGTTCCTTTTCTATGTTGGGATTCGCTCGTCACCACGACGCAGCATCCCACAAGATGAACAAGGATTTAGATTTGCTTCAGAGGTCACTTTCGCCGGTTCCTCACCGTCGAGCAGCCGGATCAGCTGACGGCAAGCCGCGGATGAAAGGCTTCAGCATCAACAGCCTAGAGCCACTATAACAGCCCAAGTGCACTCTCACGATGCGGGCGACGCGGGCTTCTGTCAATCCAGGGGCAGACCCAAGGGGGAGGCGGGAGGCGACGGGGGCGGCCGCCTACCCCCCAAACAGTCGACCCCCCCGCCCCCTTCTTGGAGGGCGATTTGACAGGGGTGGATTCCCCGAAATAAAACCAACTCCCGCCCTGCCAGGTGGTAGGAAGCTCGGTACTCAAGGACGAGGGTTCGAAATAGGGTAGGCCGCACCCTAGCAGGCGCACACACTTGGAGAACCACTCCGTCGCTTAGACTGAAGTCCGCGGCGGCGGTTTCAAAGCACGGCAGAAGTTAGAACCAAAAGTCGGCGCAGCGGCGCACATCTAGGGGCCGTCGGCGCAGTGTGGTTCTGCGGCGGTTAAAACAAAAGGCGCAACCAGAGTCCTGTTTATCTTGCTTTAGAGTTTAGATTTTCCCTCCCCCCTCGCCCCCCCCCCCCCCCCCCCCCAAAAAAAAAAAAAACGAAAAAAAAAACGGAGTTTTTGATCCGCCCCTGGGTCAACCGGTAGCCCAGCACAAACCGCGTGAACGTTCCAGCTCTTCGTCATGACACGCTGTTGCAGAAAGCAGGGTAAAATACAACTACACGTACCACCGAATCAAATGCACTGTTATCGTAAATATTGGCTTGTGATTGCGCCTTTGTAGATCATCTTATTCGTTTTGCTGGAGACGCAACCGACGGGCATAACAAAATCGTTTGCGTATTCCGCATACCTCGCAAAAGCACTTACCTTGCGAAAAGCGCGAAACACGGAGTCCGCACCGCCCTGACTCACCAGACTTTTATTTACTTTAGAGCAGTTTGTACCTGCTAGTATGTATGTCTAGTGAAACTGCAACTTGAAACTAGGGGCAATGCCAGAGAGAAAAGTGACGAAGTTGAGAAAGCATGCTCGCTCTCTCCAATTTCAGAACTCTCAAGTGATTGTACCATAATAAATTCATCAACACCTTTTTCCAAAATAAAGAAAAAACGCTACGTTCACTACGTAAAAAATGGTCTCAGTTCATGCATCCGTAGGCAGGTAGGAAACGTTGCCCTAATTTATTCACACCGCATGACGAGCGCAACAAATTCACACGAGATTTACAAGAAAATATCAGTGGTGACTTATGTTTCTCTGAAATTCTGTATGACCGGTCGTTTGCAGGACCGAATCATCTACTCGGGCGGTGTGCGTCGCTGTGCAAACGCCAACAACACGAAGCATAACAACGGCAGGTCTAGGTCAAGAATCCGTAGCCCATTGTTCAATTAAAACGACGTAATTTTGTTGAAAACGCCCGCAGCTTTTTACTCACGGTATGCGTCGAGAATCTTCCACATTTTGAAACGGAACGAAGGAAGATTTACTTTTAAAAGCGCTCGCTGCGTCCTCCCGGACCAGTTGGACCGGATCAGCTGACGACGACGACGGAACTGAACCCGTTGAATTTTAACGCCACAATAACCAATTTGCGCTTCGTGTTAGTATGGGATTCTACCTCCAAGCACCGCACGACACAGCACGTACGTTTCAACTCTTTGTCGCATCGCCGTGTTTCACCAAACCTATCTCTATGCACCAAACAGAACAAGATCGCCGAAGTGAACGGAGCGCTGTCGTGAACCTTGGCTTGTGGTTGCGCACTCGTGGACCCTGTGACTCCCTTCGCTTTCTAAGCACGCACGACGATTACGAATGATACTTTCCGTCTTCCGGGACCATCACAAGGGCACTTCTCCGGTCACGTCTTCGCTACATGTGCTGGCAAACCGCGTCAAACGTGGTCAAACCGAAGCGCCGAAGCAATACCGGCGCCATGTTGAAACTTGAACGTGCGTTGTTGCTAGAGTTTCTCCGACCAAACAAAAACAACGAAAGCAAACCGGCTCTAGCTTCCAGCGTACATCGGCGTTGCGCCGTGGCCAGATTTTCTCCGTCAGCTCTAACTTAAAGACGACCTATAGATGCAGCAACACTGGTCTCAAGTTTTAACATGGCGGCCCCCACGGAGCGCCGTAAATTCTGAGGAGGGTGCATTGGAAGCGGCGGCACCTTCCCCCCCCTGCTATATAGCTCCTTCGGAGCAGAGTAGTGCAATCTAGAACGCCGTCTCTCGGCGACTAGCGGCGAACGCCCGGAGGTTCCAACTGCGGTCAGAAATGCATGGAGAACGTGAGAAAATCGTTGTTTCTTCAGTTGTGTGGGGATGTGCGGAATGGAAATCATTTTTGACATAATAATGAAACATTTTACAATAATATGCGATAAGTTTTGTGCCATACAAGGACGTAACTTTTTTTTAAAAATTGCCTGAGCGGCATCATGCAGCAGACGACACGGCGACGTCACACCATTCACGTGACCCGCTCCGGCCAACCCGAAAAGCCCATCTCCGCTGCGAGCAAAAATCGTCTGCTTCAAACGCCATTGCCTTGGAAATTGCCTTCTCAAAATTTGCACACGCATCCGATATTATTAAAACTTTGATAAAGTGTTTAGTGCTTTACTAACTTCACGACAGACTAGTTTTGAAAAGTGTGAACTCGCCGTTCATTTTTTAATCAGCCGTGTTGTATCGATCTCCATGTATTCTCCCATAGGGCGGGCCGCCTCTTGGAACCCTGAGTACCACGTGACTCGCGCCGAGCCGCTCTGTCGGCCATCTTGTCGGCAAAACACGAGGTTCAAAGGATTGCGCTACTCTGCTCCGTAGGAGCTATATAGTGCTCTAGTGCAAACAAGGGCCTACTAGATCCTTTGATCCGCGTGTTTCGCCGACAACATGGCCGACAGAGCAGCTCGGCGCGAGTCACGTGGTACTCAGGGTTCCAGGAGGCGACCCGCCCTATGGGAGAATACACGGACATCGATACAACACGGCTGATTAAAAAATGAACGGCGAGTTCACACTTTTCAAAACTAGTCTGCCGTGAAGTTAGTAAAGCACTAAACACTTTATCAAAGTTTTAATAATATCGGATGCGTGTGCAAATTTTGAGAAGGCAATTTCCAAGGCAATGGCGTTTGAAGCAGACGATTTTTGCTTGCAGCGGAGATGGGCTTTTCGGGTTGGCCGGAGCGGGTCACGTGAATGGTGTGACGTCGCCGTGTCGTCTGCTGCATGATGCCGCTCAAGCAATTTTTTAAAAAAAGTCAGCTCCTTGCGGGGCACAAAACTTAGCGCAAATTATTCTAAAATGTTCCATTATTATGTCAAAAACAATTTCCACTCCGTACACCCCCACAATACTGAAGAAACAGCGATTGTCTCACGTTCTCCATGCATTTCTGACCGCAGTTGGAACCTCCGGGCGTTCGCCGCTAGTCGCCGAGAGGCGGCGTTCTAGATTGCGCTACTCCTCTGCGCTACTCTGCTCCGAAGGGCCTACAGACGATAGAAACACAGTTGAAATCGTCGAGTGCAACAACTTTACAAGAGCTCAGCAAAATCTATAAAACAATATTACCTGTTCACTGACCTAAAGTATAAAACGATTCTTCCGAGGAAATGACAGGCCAAGCGAGCCCAACCATTTCATTTGAGCGCCTTTGAATTAGTGACGTTGCGTCATGGCGACTTCTGATTGGTGGAATAGCTTGGAATGTATGTCGAGTTTCAACGATCAACTCTTGATGTGTAAAAAATAGCCTGCGGCGTTACAAAACTTGGGCTTACACCAGCTTAAGCAGAGGAATCTTTATGATCACGTGAATGCTCTAGAGGTGCTCTGGAGTAAAAATGACCGATGAACCAACACAAAGCACCTTCGGGCCGTCGGGGACGAGCGATTCGGAGGAGGAATAATGGCAGATCACGTGACCCGACGTCACCAAACGTGACGTCACAAATATAACGTCACGTGACAAAAAATTTTTGTTTTGCTTGTTTTTGTTTGTTTTGTTTTCTGTGACGTCACGGTTTTTAGCGAGGAAACTTTTTGTTATTTTTACTTTGTTGACGTATTATTTTTTTTTGTTTTGTTTTGTTTATTTTCTTGCTTTTTGCAACCGGGTGACCGCGTTTTCTGCGCTACAGACTGCGCTTTTCTGACTCCTTTGTTTGATATCGTGTCGTATCGTCGTATTTATGTAGTTATTAGGAACGGCAAGCCTACGTTGTTGCGTCCTTTACCTGAATATCGTGACCGAATCGAGTGTCGTCGATTTGAATCGTGTCTTGCGAACCATCGTCGAACAAAAGGTGAGTGATTTACGTTTTCCTGTGATGTGATTTCGATGTGTTCGGTCCACGCGTCCGAGCTGCTTCTTCGTTTCAAATACATTTGGCGCCGCTGCCTATTGTTTGAGCCTGTGCTCACGATTAAAACACGCATCGCAGAAAGCTGAAAGCCCGCCAAAAGAGCTCTAAAAACCGCATACTTCCGACCCCAGACCTGCCGGCAGACTTCCGAGATAAGCCTGATTAAATAAAAACGTTTGATCCGACGGAATAATGTGTTTAATATTACATCCCATGTCAACAAGGAACTGCGCTGTCTGTCTTCGCCCCTACAGGTTTTATTCTTCCGGGTTTTTCAAATCTTTACCAACCCGCGTCCGATCGTAATACCCCGATCACAACAAATAGTTGGTCGTGCTCCGATGGCTCCTAACATCAGCCGGCAAGGAAGTTACGTTTTTCGCTTCTATATTTTGACCCAAGTAACCCCATATTCTCAAACTATGTCATTCTATCACCACCTCCAGTTGCACATTCTGGCGCACTTGCAGCTTCGTGCACCCTTGCGAGGTTTCCTGCTATCGTACCCTGGATATCATGGCTTTCTCGCCGTACGCGAGAGCTCACGGAGGCGTGCTATACGCTCTGTATCATAAGTTGTGTGCAGCAAAGGCGCAGGCCCGAGCACATGACAATAAAAAGCGCCTTTTTTGCACGAGTACCCGCGCAAAAAGAACATTCTTCAGAGCTGCGCCCTCGCACCCGTGCGTTCGCTGCACACAACTTATGAGACAGTATAATAACCGAGCCGTTTTTGTTTCTTTTGCACATTACTGTGAAAGAAGTGTCATTGCTGTTTTCTTCTCAAAGAAAACTCGGAGACGTTAGACAAAAGCAAACAGATAGGAGACTGCACATTCACACGTTTTTCCCCCTTGTGCTACAGGTCATGGCTGGTCGCGGTTCATCAGCGTTTGTTTTGAAACTGATGGGTGCCACAAGGCATGAAAGAGGTGACTTGCAGCAGCAAGACACCGCAAGCCTTCGCAGCAACTGGCTAGCCAGTGCTGCTCTGTTCTGAACTGTACTGCGTGTCATGTGGAGGGTTTGTGCAAGCTCTCTGGGCGGCGACGCTAGCCACGGTAAGTGCATTCTATGCAGCTTTCTTTTAGGGATATATGTGGCTCGCAGGCCATGTCGTGCCAGCGAAATATCTGCCACCCGAGTGACAGCAGTGCTAGTGGCAAGGCTGCGCTGACAGTAATCAACACTGCACTGTGTTTTCATTCTATAACTAGTGACAAGGAACCAAATACTCCCGAGAGAGTCTCGGTTGTGCTTTGATGAACTCCAGCTCGCTTATGAACAGGTGGATGGCACAGATGGCTTTTCCTGATGCACTTGGTGTCCGTGTTAACAATGCAACCAGACTTTCTTTCAGTTTGTGACGTTTTTTCGTTGCGGGTGACTAGCATTGCAGTAGAAAAAGATGCAAAATAGTATAATGTTTGCATTCGTTACCTAAATTAATGGCAAGAACAACTGACCTACATTTCCGCCGACTGCATTTCTCTGAGGAATCGCCTGGACTAAAAAGCTCGCTACACTATGTCGTTCCCTCTTAGCCTGTACAACTCTGCGTCTTCCCTCGATTGTCTTATGTGGCTGCTTCTGTGTCTGCCTAGGCACTCGGTTGAAATGGGAAAAGCTGTCTGCGTTGCACATAACCGCCATAAGAGCCAGCGTGGGCGTAGCTGGGGTAGCCCCCGCTATGGCTTCTCCAGCTCGACACAAGTAACATTCCTACCGCTGTCGTGTTAGCAGAAAACGGACCCGCTTAAAACGTACAGTGCACGTAGTACACAATGGAGAGGTTGTTCGCCAATCATTTTCTTGGAAGTGTGAGTTGAGCCCCTTTGAGGCAGTTTGCTTCCGCACCGTGCACTATAATCCGCCCGAGAAAACAAGATGAATAACCAGTAGGATTTCTTTGTTCCAAGGCTTCTTGACGCAGAAAAAGACTAGGGAACCAGTATTGTTGCTTTTTACTACCCCGTGCGAGACTCAAACCCGACATGCAAGGAAGTGGAAAGGCCTCTTCCTTTCTGCTTTCTTGTGCCTTGGGTTTTAGCTGTGCTCACAATTCACAGCTCGCCTGCATGCCTACTCTTTTGTTCACTGTGTTACTGAAGTTTTCTGTCGTTGCTGTCCCAGATTGGCTTCGTGGATGCACAGAAATACTCAAGGCGCTTGATGTCTGTGGCTCATTTTTTTTTTTTTCCGGTACCACGGCATGAAGGAGCTGGCCTCCCTCCCTTCCGTCAGCTGCAATATACTACAAGCACTGGGCTACAGCTGCAGCTAGCCCATGGGTACCGTTCTGCGTCCTGTACTGCATCTAATTCGAAAGGCCATGTGAAAGGCAGGTGTGGTCTTTATGGGCTCTGTGAGTATGTGCATTTTCTGCAGCTTTTTCGGGGCAACTTCATATTAAGATTCAATACGGACTCGAGTGAGAGGGGGGCATTCTGAGAAAGCTAGCCTCTTTGTTAAATCATTGGGACTGCTATTATATCTATAGAGTTTATTTACACCTTACGTTATGTACTTTTTCATTTATTTTTATTTTACTAGTTACTTATACTTCAATCTGACACGACAGCCACCAAAAATGTTGACATATTGGCCTTTTTTTTTTCTGTCAGTTTGTTTGAAGAGCCAATGTTGGGGGCGGTCATTCATGTTATATTTCCCACACGCACGTCCAGCCTATGTTTACGTAAAGCCCAATTGCCCCTTAGCAACAAAAATAATTTATGCGACAGACTACACGGCAGCATTGTGGACGAAAACAGGCCAGATTATATCTGCCATGTTTAAAAACTACATTCGGCGACAGGTTATGAATTCAGTGGCAAGAATGCACACCGCCTGCCAATCGCTGCCGTCAGTTGTCCTGACGTCATGTCTGCTAAGAAACTAGAATATATTTTTTTTAAATGGCAGGTTTTCGTTGCTGACGCCACGTAGCATGTCGGCACTCTAAGCACTTATTCTGCTCTTGGCCTCTCCGGTTTTACCTTGCGAAGTCATGACGGTGTTTGCTTTTGTTTGCAGTATTTCCCGTGTGTCGACGTGAGAAGGCAGCGGTTGTATCGCCAAGGAAGTAGCAATCAATCTGCGCGCATTTGTTCCAGCGGCACAGCGTTTACAAACCGGACTTTGCCCTTCACCGAGGGGAAAGTCTACCGACTCGCCCTACAGTTGGTGAGCATTGTGCTGCCGTGAGCGCGTAAGTTGTCCGAATGCTTTCGTCTGTATACAGTGACAAAATGACTCGCTGAAATGCGAAGTACCATACAGTACCATGCCGTACATCAAACCATCGATCACTTGCTGCAGCAACTTTGCGTTTTAAGTCGTAATAATAAACTGTATTTTAAGGCTAAAATCATTATTTCAAACTGCTCAATTATTCGAAATTCTGCACGATCCCCATCGGGTCTGCAATATCGGTCGGTGGCTGTATAACCTTTAAACACAATGGTTACACACCACAGGTACCGGGGACCATGACATCAATGAGCTGGCTTTCACCTTGTCCAAGGCAGCAGCGGAACACTACGGGCGGGACCCTGGATCACTGCACCGTGGATGCCGTTCTGTACCCTGCACGGCACTGCGTGTGGCTTAAGTGGCCAAGCAGGGGGTCATTGCATGACTTTTATGAGGCGCCGCTAGCCATTGTAAGTATATTTTGGACACTCATGTCTGGTGATGTACTTTTGTGCTCTACCACAGAGCACATTTGGTGGCGGTTCAGTCTTGCCAATTACACCATTTTGAAACGGAACACATTTAGTGGTGGCTCGGTTTAGGTTTCCTGGATCGGTGATCTTGCAACAGTGCCTAGACTTGGCGTAAACCTTTTTGTACTTTATTGTCAAGGCTAGTGTAATTTCTGCAATGCCGTTGAAGCCACTTCTGCACGCAAACAAGATAAAAGACGAAGCCACATGCTCGTGCACAGTGTATGACTACATGTATGCAAGGGCACTCGTGCCCATGCGTACCCACTCGCAACATGGAGCAAGTTTGTTTCGGCCGACACTCCTCGCGTTCATTTCGGCGTCGCCACTCCACACGTCCATGCACTTGCTGCACCTTGAGAATCAAGTGTGCACCAGAATGCACTCCCGTCATGCATCACTCAGGAGGGGAACAAGAGCAGACGACTGGGGTTTTTCCGCCATAAGGAACGAGAACCGAAAAAAAGGGGATTGTCTGCTAAGAAACTGCGTC